AAGGGCTATAGGTCCTATAGGTTAAGAGGGTGGTAAACAAGAGCTAGGGACATGGTGGAAGGGTCTTGTCTACTCAGAGCCCGGAGCCAAGTGTCCATCTGCAGGTCTGTCATCTATGTAACAGCACGCATGGGTCAACAAGAGCAAGGAAAAGCTTACTATTGGTGATTCAGTGACTGGAGTCCTTGCATACTCCTTTTAGCTCTTCCCGTGGCTCTCAGATGGTGAGTCCACAGTAGCAGCAAATGGTGCACCAGACAGAAGGGGGAAATGCGAGCTCTGTGGGCTGGGAAATCTGCAGCCCGACTCACTGTATAATCTGGTCCTGGAGTTCTCCCAGACAGAAGGAGAAATAGTCTTTAGTACAGCCGGATCCTACTATTGGAACACTGGAAAGATTTAAAGATTATTTCACTACCAGTGAAACCAAAGCCCTGGAAAAATGTGTTAATTTTCTTCTGAAACTATTAACATTTAGAGGAGTGAATTATAATCCTGCACATTAGACGTTTTTCAAACTATGGATTTCTGGGCTCTACCTTATACCATTTAAATTAGAATCTCTGGAGAGGTGGATGGGGCCTAGGCATCTATATATTTTAAAAATGTTGATTGATTACATTGTTCTTTAATTTTTAAATGATGAGAGTATCATGAACTTTTCACTGTAAATTTAAAAAGATATAAAAAATTTTTACTCTCCTAGTCTCTTTCTACATAAGGAATATAAAATGGGTAGGTGTTTACTTACCACCCCTTTCAGTTTTATCAAAGTATATATTGTGCAAATCATAAGCGCATAGCTAATGGATTATCCCCAGATAAACATCGTTTTGTAAATACCATCCAGGTCAAGAAATAGAGGAGACAGGTGATTTTCTTTTGAAGTGCTTATCTGAACACAAGCAGATGTAGTCGTGTAGATGGCTACGAGATGCAGGCCCTACTCATGCTCTTCCTCCGTCATTTTCCTCTGCCTCCTCCATAAAGGTATGAAAAGATTTCCAGATAATCTTAATGAGTCACACCATTGTCTATTGTCTATTTTTCACTTTGTTTTCCTTGGAGAATTATTTATTTTCTGGAAAGAAAATACTTCAGGTATGAGGACTATTGTATCAGTCTCTCTGGTCTAATGATATTAGTGGCAATAACAAATATTTTGAGCATTTTATACACACACTCACCTGTTATTTATGAATGTTAAATTATTTGCAAACCATTACGCGTTCAAGGAATTTAGCCTTATTTTTCTTGGACTAAATCAGACTTCTTTCTTGGGCCCCATGACACTTGGTGTTAGAAAATACCTTTTTGTTCAGTTTCAACAGTGATCAATAGCAATACGGGCATCTGCCTCCCCATTCCAAAATGAGGTCCACCATGCAAAGAAAAGTAGGTTCCTGTATTGGGAAGCCTGAGGTTGCTGGGACAACGGAGGGTGTCTGTGGACCACTGGACCACTTGTGGGCCATGCGTACAGGTGCACGTGAGAAAGCCAGCCAGTTAATCACCTTAAACGCTGCCCAAGAGAACAGCCTAAAGAAACAAGGTGACCACAACACCCGCACAGTCGGCTCTGCATCAACAGCAGGCCTGAGAGATAATAGTAGTGGTGTCTTTGAAGCTCCTGCAAAATGCCCACCAGAGGGTCAGCTTTATGAACCAGCTATGCCCAGAGAGCTTCTAAGTGACCTCACAACAATATCAGTGGAGTGGCAAGAACATTTCTCCTCCCAGTACTCTCCGCCCACCACTACCCTGCAGCCCTGGTGGTTAGTCAGAGCCAGACAAAGGGATGTGAGTGGGTGGGTGTATGGGAAATAGAAGGTCCAGACAGGAAAAAACAGGCCCAGATGGCTCTCTCTCCTTCTTATCAGTAGGTTTTTGCCTATGTTTTTGACAGACAGCTAACATCTGGGGAACAAAATGCTCAAAACTTAAAAAAATTTTGAAAATTTTGACTATTATATAGAATCAAGAATTTTGATGAGTTTATGTGAGTGTCTGTGACTAAAATGATTGGAGAAATTTTTAAAAATCTAAGTGTGACTAGAAATATCATGCCCGAGTTTTTATCCAAGGGAGCTGGAAAGAGCTACTAGGCCACAGAGCAGGTTGGAATAGGCCGTGGGGAGAATGACTGTGATTATTTTCTGATTCTATCTGCTGACTGTTGTTGGTTATATCAATACTGGCTCCAGCAACAATTCAATGAGTTTGCTCCTAATGCTACCACAATAGCTTTCCCCTGTGTAATGTTGACTCCCTGATGGGCTGTCTGGGCTGGAAGAAGGGCCTCTGAGAAGTTTATTTTAATAAAGTGTTGGGGGGGGGATAGATACCCAGTGCCTAATATTTCAAATCATCATTCCATCACCACTATATCATTTAATCATCACAAGACACTGAAGGGTAAGTGCTATTATTTTTCTCCTCACAGAGGTGGAAATTGAGGCTAGAGAGGCTGCTAACTCGCCACGAGGGACCACAGCTGGGGAGTGAAGGAGGCTTGCTCCCTCTGGAGCCCATTCTCCAAACAGCACACCCTTTAGCCTCCACTAATGCCTCCTATGACTAATAAGGGGAGGCAATGCATTGATCTTCTAATAAAGACACATTTTGCAGGGCAAATGGGGTGGTCAACCACCTCCTAATGCACACAACTCATCTACTTCCCAAGCATTTCTCCACTAAAAATGTTGCTTTAGAAACAGCAAGCAGAGATGCCTGCTTATTACAACCTGGCTTTTGCCAAAGACTTGCTTTTAATTTTCAGTCAGGTTAGTTATTCTTCTTAATAAATGAAAATAATAGATAGTTACAATATGCAGCCATGGTTCCCTTTCAAGAAGTTAGCACTTACCACCTAGAAAATAATTCTGTGCTTATGAACATATGGTCTAAGAATTTGGAGAAAATTGCTTTGATGCTTGAATTCTGATGAACTTTAGTCAAAATCTATAGATACTTCAGTCCACTGACCATTTTGGAATTGTTTCTTCTTCTTCCTCCGTGGGGCAGCATTTTTAGGGAGAGTGCTACAGTAACAGTTCTATTATAATTTTTGGCATTTCATCACGTGGAAGTTTATTTTTCCCTTGTATATATTTTCCAGTTCTTTGATGTTTTCTGCACTGGAAAATGTAGTATTTTTAGGATTATACACCATACTCTAACCTCTTTCCGCCCCGCAGTATCCAGACCTTTTTTCCAGTGGGGAATCAAACCCGTCCCCTTCCTGCCTCCTGTCTGTATTTGCCATCGAAGCGGAAAGAAAAGTCCAAGTGAGACCCAGAGGTCATCACTCCTTGCCTTTGTACCAGGACCTGCAAACCACTGAAGCCAAGTACTAACCTGTTTTTAAAAAAACCTTCAATCTGAGAGACTCCAAGACTTCTTCCTGTGAACTGTCGCACTGTGTGACTGCACACTGTAACTGTCTGTCCCTATCTATGTGCACACTTATCTCGCTGTTCTATTTTTTTCCTTATTTGTGTTAACCCTTTTGCACCTTTTTATGAACTTCTAAGCCCTCTCTTCTCAGAAGTGGTGAGCGACAAATGTTACTCTGTAAACAGTCAAGATGGTAAGGTGAGTCATAGCCCTTGGGAACCTGTGTGCTCTCATCCCCGGTTATGTGGGAGAGGCAGTGAGGGGATGGCATTCCTCATTTTATAAGGTATTTCTGTGGCTGCAGCTAAGCAAACACTGTCAATCCTTTTTAACACCATGAGACTGACATTTCTGAGTTTGTTTCCAGACAGAACACTAGAGGGCTCTCAGGGGTTAAAAATAGGTGGAAAATTATTTGAATGAAAACTGCTTCTGTACGGCATTTATTTTTTTCAGACTTTAAAATTGAAGTTTATTTTTTAAACTATTTTAAAAAACCGTACATGTCTGGGTTATCGGCAACCAGTTTACAAGTAACCGTTTTGTTTTGCAATCAGTAGTTTCAAAGGGAACTTTTAAAGCTGCACTGAAATATTTGAAATGTGGAACACTCTTGACCATGAAATATGCTCTACTTACATGCCTCCGCCTTTTAGAAGTTCTTTGCATTGGAGTCAGGAATTGCATTCTTCCTGGGGCCAAGCATGGGGCCAGCTGTGTAAGTAAGGTTGCTTACAAGTTCTTCTGTTTAATAATGTGAAGAAAATAGAGCTAGAGATCCTTTTATTTTCATTCAGCTGTCTGGTGGAAAGAAAAGGAATAAAAAGCAGTCAGATTGGTGTTTTGTGTTTGTGTCTCTGTATGTGTGTGACTGCATAAATATAAATTCTTCCTAGGTATGCAGGCATTTATGCCTTTATGTTATAATGACTCTTAGTGTAAGATAAAGGAGCATACTGTGAAGAAAAAAATTGTACCACCAGATTAAGAGAATATGTTTCTGAATTTGAATGTTAATACTTGGTACAGCTGCCTAATTAGTTAATGTGGGGCTTTTAAAAGTAAATATGGGATAGCTACAGATTTTTTAAAACTAACTATTTAATGTCAGATTATTTTTAAGTGGAAAGCCTGGCTTTGTAAAATTTTAATACTTTTCCTTCAGTATAAAATTAAATAACTCTAGCTACAAGTTACAAAATATTCTTGGATTTTTGTGGTTTGTTTTCACTAATTTAAACTGAATATTAAATCTATTCTTTAAACTTCTTTTTGAAAAAACATTTAGTGGCCATATTTATGAAAGGAAAGGGTTACTTTTTCTCTTGACTCTTGTAGAGGAACTGAACTAGTTTGAAATTGTGACTCAGTTAACTCTATTTCCATTCATTCCCAGAAACAAGCCACACTTCTCCTTGGGGAGGCTAATAGGAGTTTAAAAGGTTTGTTGTGGCGAGCGTCAGAACTATTCCCAACTCCATCACCCACTGTTCACTTCCACCTCTACGCACGGGAGACCACTTACACACTTAAGCAGAGGTGACAGCTGAATTCAGGAGACCATGCATCATGTCAGCAGGAGCAGACTGCAGGCTTTAAACTCTGTTCAACATGTGGATGCGGCAGAGAAATGACCTGTCCAGACAAGCCAGGGAAACTCATAAACTGGTTCATCTGCTCCCTGTGCGTCCCACGAGTGTGTAAACTGTGGAGCGGCCGGCGCCCAAGGACCCGGAGGAACCTCCTGCTGGGCACTGCCTGTGCCATCTACCTGGGCTTCCTGGTGAGCCAGGTGGGGCGCGCCTCTTTCCAGCATGGACGGGCCGCTGAAAAGAGCCTGCCCCAGAGCCGCGACACCACCGAGGCACCCTTCCCTGAGATACCCTTGGATGGGACCCTGGCCCCTCCCGAATCCCAGGGCAATGGGACCACGCTGCAGCTCAATGTGGTGTACATTACCCTACGCTCCAAGCGCAGCAAGCCCGCCAACATCCGTGGCACAGTAAAACCTAAGCGCAGGAAGAAGCATACACTGGCATCTTCAGCCCCGGGACAGGAGGCTTTGGTAGGACCATCCCTTCAGCTGCAGGAAGTTGCAAAAGCAACTGATGCTAAAGTGCCTGGTTATATCCAGAGAGGAAACATGGCTAAGGTTGGGGAACGACCCTGGAGGTTGACACGAGTGTCGGTAGTGCACGGTTGGGGCTCTGATTTCCAGCTGAGCAAGACCAGGGAGAGCAACATCAGGATCTACAGCGAGAGCGCCCCCTCGTGGCTGAGCAAAGAGGACATTCGCAGAATGCGTCTGTTGGCCGATGGCGCAGTGGCAGGCGTCCAGCCTGTGTCCTCGCAGAGCCCAGCCCGCTTGCTGCTGCTGGAGCGGAGCGCCGTTGGCTCCGTGCCAGGCTGCGGCCCCAGCCCCTGTGGGCTGCTCAAGCAGCCTCTGGACATGAGTGAGGTGTTCGCCTTCCACCTGGACAGGATCCTGGGGCTCAACAGGACCCTGCCGTCTGTGAGCAGGAAATCAGAGTTCATCCAAGGTAACAGCTTCACATGCTTCGTTATTTGCAGCTGTTGGGGATTCAGACTGATTTTCTCTTTTCCCTCACCCTCTTTTTCTAAATGATTTCTCCACCCACGTTTCACATTTGGACAGCAGCAGCATGTCTTTCCGTACGCTTGGCATTCTTCATTTCCCCAGCTCTGGGAGGCTGTGGGAGCTCCGGGGAAATGCTGTAGCCGGCATGCACGCACGAGTAAGCCCACACTGTGCTATCGGCCCTCCATTTCCCTCGCTGCACTTCCAGCGGCTTATTAAATCTAATTAAAGCCAGTGGCAATTTGCATGATGAGGAAAGGAAGCCAGGGTGGAGGCAAAGAACTTGCTGACAGTCAGGCGTATTATTGGAGAGGTTACTGTGGAAGTAGAATTTCATTCCTTAGACGTTTTTAAAAGTAAAGGGGGTGGGGTAGGAGTGAGCTATCTTTCTTCAGCGGATGGAACCTTTTTATGAGGCCAGCCAGACTATATTAGATTCAAGCCCTTGATTCTTTTACAGTGGATTTAACTGCCTTATTTTACAAAGGAAATGAAGCAAAGATAGGTAATTTGTTTAATATATATACTAACTAGCCATTTGGTTTCCTCAAGAGCATGACTATGGTCTCATTGACCTGATTGCCAAGATTCAGGGGTCAGGAGTTCTGCAGATTCTAGGGGGACTGGTCTGCAGTGGTGCTAATGCCATATAAAGGATATTCTTTGAACTATCAGTGTATTGTCTCTGCGTTTGAATACAAAGTAGGGGTGGTGTTTGTCAGTTGACTGTGTTTGAAAGCAGAAGTTGCCCCTGTAAATCCAGGCTCACCCAAGCAGCTTTAAAGGACCCCAGAAAGATTACAAACTCAAAGGGTGTTCCCTTACTACCTGTCACCATAAAACTAAGCATTTTAGTGAGATTACCATTGAATCTGGACTGGAATGGATTAAAACTCTTGGGAGTGACTGAGAACTAAACTGTATTTCCAATGGCTTTAGGATTATAATTCAGTTTTAGAATGGGCACTTCTTGAAGTACCAGTAATTTACTTAGAAAGATTTGGCATTCTTTACTTATCCTGGACCATATCTAAGTGCTTCAGATTCACAGGTATGCTTTGATGTTTAAAAGTCACAAAGGAGTCCACCATGATTATACTGATGTGCAAGAGACTCAAATATTTAATCAACAGTTGGTAAAAGCTAATTTTTATTGGGTGCTTACTGTTTTCTAAGCACTACACTAATCGATTCAAATAGCTCATACATGCATTGACTCCTGTGTTTCTCACTACAATGCTGTAAGGTAGGTACTGTTATTATTTCCATTTAGTAGATGAGCAAATTGAGCCTGATTTGGGCAAAGTGATTGACCTCAATTCCCACAGCTAGGAGATGGCTCAGCTGGGTTTCAGACATAGGCCCAGCAAACTTCAGAAAATAAGCTGTTACCCACTCAGTTTAGGTAACTGTATATCTTATTATCCAAACTGAAATACTCAGGAGAGAGAGAAAATATTGGTGGGTATTGAAACAACAGGCATACACCAAGGCTGTCCTGGACAAAGCAGGGCATAGAATCATCCTTGTTACACTACACTGTTGTTCATTTTTATGTCATAAAGCCCCCCAGGGAAGGTGAACTCTTGACTATACCCTGAGGCATGGTGCTTTGATGTCCTTTGAGCTTCCCTGGGATGCTCTTAGATGTAAGTTGGGAGAATAAAGTAGTGGGTAGAAGTCTGGGCTCTGGAGTGGGGCTTTCGGGGTTTGAATTTACCATCTATGTCCTGGAGATGTTACAGTATCTCTCTGTGCCTCAGTTTCCTCAGCCCTGGCATGACAATACTACCTGCCTCATGAGGCTATTGTTAGTTAATACCTGGAAAACACACAGAACCAGTGCCTGTCACACAGTACACCTTCACTGGATATTGACTACTACACTGTGCACATGAGGCACCAAGCTCACTGAATTCTTCACATAGCCTCTGAGCCTCACATATTATTTCTTTATGTGACAGGACTAGGACTAAAACCCAGGTCTCTAGACTGCTTAGGTAGACTTTCTGACACCAGGATTGCTCTTAAATATTTCATTTGGGCTCTGAACATCCAGCATCTTTGGGAATAGGAGGGCAGTTGCATTCAGTCTGAAGGAGGGGCTTATAATCTCAATATAGCCTGGTGTCTTCTCTGGTTTCAGAAGTAAATGGGGATGGCAAACACCCAACAAAGTTGTATCTCCACGACTCTCAGGGTGATGAGCTCAGTACCTAAGGTTTTATCTCAAACACTATCAGCCCTGTGTTTGATACCTTCTCCTTATGTAGTTCTTAGAGTCATAAATCAGGCCAATTTCCTTGGACACTTATGAAATTATTTAAATATAACTATGAGCACTCTAACAATATAATTTTACTTATGTAGACTATTTTACTGATGTAAAGTACATAAACAGATCACTTCTGCTCATGGTGGGAGCGATATGAACAGTCTTAGTTGTTGGTATCTCTCTCCATACACCTATTTTTATTTTCCTGAGTTATGTCTTTCTTACCCTGATTTCCACAGAAGTGTATATTTTCTTTCTAAGATCTTCTTTTTCTCTTGCTCCAAGCTTAGCTTCATTTGAGCCTCCCTGTCCACCTAAGGAGGTAAAAGATCTTGTTTAGTTACCCAGCACCTATTTCTGGCACATTCTATATCATTGCTTCACATTACAGTTGCTTGTTTAATCTTATGCTTCTACTCATTAGTCTGTGAAGGCAGAGATATTTTGTCTCCTGTTTATTGTGGCAGTAAAGAGTCTGACACATAATAGGTGTTCAATACATATTTTTTAATGAATTCAGAAATACATTCTTGACCTGTTCTACTGACTCTAAAGAGTAAATCTATATTTGCCTCCAGCTTCCAGTAATCAGGACAAGTGCTACCGTTTTTAGTCCTAAATCCTCCTGGAGTATATTATAAAGAGCTCATTGAAAAGATAATAAAAATGTCCTTGGCAGCTCTGTATTATGCAAATAATAAGGTTCACAGACCTCATTCTTGTGAGGACGTTCAACCATGGTCTGCTGGTCTCACACTGGAATATAATTTGATCATGACGTTTTTTCTATAGGAGGAACTATTGGGTTTAGTTTAGGTATATCTTTCTCTGATGATACGACTTGACCTAGGAGTAGATATTTTAATATTTAGGAGAAAGAGTAGCCAGCAAATCCTATCAGTAATCTGCCCTAAGGGTTGTTTCTGTTCCCTGACTTTTGATTTGTGTTTGTGAAAATAAATTCATGCTCAGCACCAAGAACATAACTAGTCTGTATTGTGAGTTGAATATAGATGTTTGGCTTATCTCAGTTAAACTTTCCAAGAAACCTATGCAGTAGACACTTTTTTTTAACCTTAATTTTGAGATGAAAGGCAGTAAGAAGACTGCTCAAGGCCATGCAATGAGTTGGTTGTCAGAAAGAATTCAAACCCTGGTCTTCTACCTTTAAGTCTTTCCTCTTTTCATCAGTCTGCTTGCCTAACAAATCCTTTAAAGGGCTTCATTGTATATCTTTCTCTTTGTTTCTCCATCACCACAACATATTACTATATCTAGTTATTTAATATGGTGAAACAGATGACTTATATACTTATCAACATATACAGGCTTTGGGAAACTCTTTTGTCGCAAGGACACAGCAAACTTAATAATAGCAAAAGTAATATTAAGGTGACTATATACCAGGTACTATTTTAAGTACTGTGCGTGAATTATCTCATTAAATCCTCATACGGAATTTATGAGGTATGTACTCTATGCGAGACATTTTGTGGGTAGGCAAGCAGAGGATCAGAGTAATAAAGCACCTTTCTTAAAGTCATACAAATGGCCTGGATATAAAAAGGGTACATGAGATGTGAGGAGATCAGTTAAAGAGAATCAAATGCCACGATCGAATGATCTGCCTGTCGCCAGCCTCTCAGATGAGGCTTCTGTTAATTCAGTCCAAAGACAAAAAGTCCCATTAAAAAGGCTTTGTATTTTTTTTGTGTAAGTAGTAAAACTGATGTGAGTGGTCCTGTCAGCACAGAGACACTGTCTCAGGTAAGTCTGGGACAGGTTCTTGGTTGTGTAACTTGATGAACTCTAGGTGATTCTCCTAGAATTTAAACAAAAAAGAAAAAAAGAAAAAATATATATATGTATGTATATGCAGAATTAGCAGACTCACCAACCTTGCACTGTACCTCAGACCACTTTCTGACAGGTGTTACTCCACAGACAGCCCAGGAAATGGGAAGGGTATACGTGCTTGGCAAGGGCAGGCTGTAGGTAGGCAGGGAGAGCCAGTGTGTGCCACCTGACCCAGGCCAGCAGTCACCACTGGAGAGGAGCCTCTCCTATGCCTGTGTGGGAAATGCAAAACTGGATTGAAATACAGTATCAAAGGGCTTTTAAAAAATCTATTTTTGCCAAGTGAAATCTTTAGCTGTGAATTCATAAAGCATCTAGTGTAGGCACTGCACAGTGCCTGTTCTACATTGCTGTCATTTGTCTACTGCATCACTAACAATTCTGTGCAGCAGTTAGCATTAATACTTTAAATCTGGGAATCCTGAGGCTCAGCAAGCTTATGAAACCTGCCCAAGGACACACAGCTAGTGAGCAGAGAACTGAAATGTGTAACCGATTCTGTCTGATACTAAAGCCTCCTCACGTGGCTTCTCTTAGCCCATACCACCTCTTAAATGTAACTTGGTATAATTATGGAATAGTGACAAAAATGTGCAAATTGAGCATGGTGATCCCTGATCTATTGCTATGCGAACATTTCTATTTAATTTCTTTTTTCAATTCAACAGTTTAACACTGATAATATTTTTACACAAAGAAAGTTTGACGTACTGCTCTGAATACTGCTGCATGATTTGTTTGTTTTTTAAATGCAAGCCATTGCTTACCAGATTTTCTTGTTTAACCATAAACAATCATATGTAGGCAAA